TAACTCTGTAAATATTAATCCGAATACGCTCAAACTCAGCAACTTTACTAATTTTAGTATGCTCTTTCTTGTCCTGGTATCTATTTTTCCATTTCATCAAACGGTAGCGAGTTTGTGACTAGTCACCAGTCCCTTTTTGAATTTCGGAATGGGCAATAGCTCATGCCTTTGATGACGTTGTCGCTGTGGTTTTGCTTGCATGCCTATTCTCCTTCGCAGCCCACCCTTTTGTCGGGCATAAGGAGACTATATTGCTTGACATCCTCTCAAGAACTATACATTTACAGCCATTGCATAAAAATGTATAGTTTATTACACTATCGTGTACAGGATTTTTACACAGATGATCGCTGCTATCGTACTCGAATAGCGCGTTCGATTCTCGACTAAGCGATTAGATTTTTCTTTTTCTTTCCTTTTTTTACTGAAATAAACTTATTCTTATTTTCAATGTAGATATTTGTTTTACATATTTTACAGGCACAAGATCATACTTGAATAGCGTCGTTGAACTGACGATCTCAGACTGGATCAACTCGAGCAGCTTCTAAACAATTTTTCCCATTTCTCTTCTTTAACTTTAAATTAAACTCGTTTTTTTTTTGTTTCAAAATGCAAAGCAAACTTTCATCTTAAAAATTCTCTGAGGAAAATGCCAATGCAATCGGAGTGCTAAATTTTCGCTGTGTGATAACCATATTAAAAAAATGAGTGTGAAAAGATCATGCGCAAAATCTATCAAATCGATCGCGGCGCTGGTAAAAAAAATGATATTTTACGGCAAAATTCTATACACTTAGCGTAACCTGGACACGGTATGTTCCACGAAGTGGTTCTTGTTAAAATTTACAGTGTATCCTAGAGTGGAACAGCCATTTTAAATGAACTAATCTTGATTTTGCGGAGCTTTTTTTGAGTTTGTGATCTGATAAACACATTAAAAATGTCTTTAGTCGTATAACTGATGAATATAGCATTAAATTAGTGCGCACGATAACAGCCGATAAATTTTACAAATCCATGTAA